CCACGGATCCCACCCACAATCAATCAAATCACCGCCATGTGACCGCCATCCCACCGCCACACACACCTCCTCCCAGCACATCGTGCCGGGTTGTCACTGGACCGAGACGTGTTGGCTGTGGCTGCCCAACCAACCAACCAACCAACCAACCAACAAGCCATTCTCTGCACCACTCTCATCTCAACTTCAAGGTCAACTTCACGCCAACAAGCAAGCAAGAAGGCAAGAGAGAGCGAGACTCCACACCACATGTCCTGGTCCGTTGTTGCGTCCGGGCCCCCCGCTGTTGTCCCTGTTGGTGACATTTCGTTTCGACACCCACGCTGCTCACACTGCCATCATTCTCCTTTGCCTTTGCCTTGCTTGCTTGCTTGGATCGATCGTGTTCTGTTGTCTGTAGTTTGTTCAAGTCGTGTTGTGTCGTGGTTGCTGTCATCGACGTCGTCGCTTACCCCTCTCCCTACATCTCTCCTTCTCCCTTCCCTCTTCCTCCCCTCCCTCTTCCTCCCCCTTCTTCCTCTCCCTCTCCCTTCAACAACAGCCATGATGCAGTGCAGTCAGGCGGCCACACGCCGTGCGGCGGCGACGATGCTGCTCAATGCACGCCGTGCAAAGCACTACAAGGTGCTGACTGTCGGCGGCGGCGCTGGTGGCCTCGCCGTCAGCTCAACCCTCTCCAACAAGCTCGGCAAGGGCGCTGTACGTTTCTCCTCACTCATTGTCCTTGGTGGCGTTGTGGTATTGTGGGTTGTGGTGACAGGTGGCTGATGGCTGTTGCTTGGTTGTCGTGGTCGTGGTCTGGCTGGTTTGTCTGGTCTGTTGCTGTTGGTCTTCTCGGTCTGTGATGAACTGCGTGTCGTGAGCTGCTTGCTCCTCGCAGTACTGTAATAGCAAGCCTCATTGCTGGTCTCCTGTTGACTGCAACCCCATCACCCAACCTCACAACATCCGTCCCACACTTCAACACACACCACAACGCGCAACCGCAACAATGCCAACAACACCAGGTTGGCATTATTGAGCCCTCGTCCGTGCACTACTACCAGCCATCATGGACCATGGTTGGCGGTGGCGTGCACCAGTTCAAGGATTCCATGCGCGATCAAGCATCCGTCATGCCCCGCAACGCAGACTGGATCCAGGACTACGCCGTGGCCTTCAAGCCCGAGGAGAACAAAGTCGTCACCCAGAATGGCGACGAGGTGCGTGCGTGCGTGTGTGTGTATGTGTGCATGTGTGTATGCGTGGGGGTGGGAGAGAGCATCTGTCTTTCTCTTGCTGCTATCGCTGTCGCTGCTGTCGCTGCTGTCGCACATCTAGCATCACGTGCTCGTGTTCCGCCTCACGTGCTCGTGTTCCGCCTCACATCACACATTCATCTCACTGCACTCCCTTGCATGCATGCCCCTGCCAACCACCGTCTCCCCCAACACACACACAGTTTACGTACGACTTTCTTGTGGTCGCAGCTGGGTTCCAGCTCGATTGGGACAAGATCAAGGGCCTGAAGGATGCCCTGGGTAAGGATGGCGTCACCTCCAACTACTCTCCCAAGAGCTGCGAAAAGTCCTGGGAGTTTATGCAGGCATTCAAGGTGTGACGCACGTCATCATCTTTGCTTGCATCGCAGTGGCTGCTGCTGGCTGAAGGGCTGAGGTCTTGCGTGGGTGGCTGGTGTGCACCGAGCGTCGTTGGTTTGCGTTTACATCATTTCTATGACCTCAAACGAATGAATCTTCGCACACACACACACATGATGCACGCAGGGAGGCAACGCCATCTTCACGCAGCCGGACTGCCCGATCAAGTGCGCCGGCGCTCCGCAGAAGATCATGTATCTCTTTGAGGACTACATCACCCGCCAGGGCCTGCGCGACAAGACAAACGTCACCTTCATGCAGGGCCTCCCAGCCATCTTCGGCATCAAAAAGTCAGTGGCATGTGTATGTTGTGTGTGTGTGTGTGTGTGTTGTGTGTGTGCTGTGTGTGCTATGCGGTGGGACAAGGTATTCTCTGTTGCACTCGCACTTGCTGTTGATGGCGGCAGCAGCCAGAAGTCTCACCACTGCTCACACATGCTCACACGTGCACGAAAATGCACCACACTTCAGGTATGCTGACGTGCTGACGAACATCTGCAAGGACCGCGACATTGACGTGCAAGTGAACAGTGTGCTGAAGGAGATCAAGCCAGAGACAAAGGAGGCCGTGTTCCAGCAAGGCGACAAGACCACGACTGTCAACTACGACTACATCCACGTCACCCCATACATGAGCGCCCCAGACTTTATCAAGAAAGTGAGAGAGAGAGAGAGTGTGTGTGTGTGTGTGTGTGAGCGCGTGAATGAGTGAGTGTGTGAATGAGTGAGTGCGTGAGTGAGTGAGTGAGTCCGCAGCGATGCTCATGATGCAATCTCGAAGCTTCAGTGTATCCCTCCACAGAAGCAGCCAGGCAGTCACATAGACAAGCAGTTATGCCGCTCGCTCATCTCCATGTTGTCCTCCCCTCCCCCACATGCGCCCCGTGTATCCTTTGACAGAGTTCACTGGCCAACGCGGCAGGGTTCGTGGACGTGGACCAGTACACCATGCAGCATGTCAAGTACCCGAACATCTTCTCGCTTGGCGACTGCTCATCCGTTCCCACATCAAAGACTGCCGCTGCCGTCGCATCAGAGGTACAACCGTGTTGGGACAGGCGCTAACATGTTGTGCATCTTGCGCTTGCTCTCATTCGAAGCATGTTTCTGACACACAAACACACACACACATACTCACACTCACGCCTGTGCTTGTACCATTACATCAGAGTGGAGTGGTGAAGCAGAATCTGCTTGCAGCGCTGGAGGGCAAGCCACTGCCGGCCAAGTACGACGGCTACGCCAGCTGCCCGCTCGTCACAGGGCGCGGAAAGCTCGTGCTCGCAGAGTTCTCAGGCTTCACCGGACAGGTGTGTGCACGTGTGTGCATGTGTGCATGTACATGTCTGTGTTTGTGCGCCTGTGCATGTGCATGTCTCTTTCTCTTTTCGTCGTTTCTCGTTCCAGCATCGTTTGCTGTATTACCTCTGTTGAGTTACCTCTGCTGGATTACCTCTGCTGGATTACCTCGAAGCTGCACCCTCACCCCGCACACCATACCCTCGCATGCCTTCATGGTCTCACCGCTCCCCTCCATCTCCTCCACACCATACGCTGCAGCCGCTGGAGACGTTTTTCTTTGACCAGGGGAAGGAGCGCTGGTCAATGTACTCGATGAAGAAGGACCTGATCCCGCGCATGTACTGGGACCAGCTCATCACGGGCCTGTGGAACGGCCCGACAAACGTGCGCTTCCTCACAAACCCGCTCGGTTGGCAACAGTTCAGCGCCTGAGCCCGCAGTATGCGGATGATGGGCGATGGATGCTGGATGTGGCATGACTCTTGCTCATTGTGTGTTTTCCTGTGATCATATTGTCAAGCAAAACAAGTGAAGCAAGCAAGTATGCAAATGGGGCAAACCGCACAAGACGTGCCTGCAGGCAAGGCGAAGCAGAAGTGCTTCAAGGAAATGAAGAGGAGGAGAGAAGTCACAGGCAAGAGGTGGGCGATGAAATGTAACAATGAAGGCAGGTGTGGTTGGTGATGTGAATCGCATCCATCCATCCAGTACAGAGCAGCACGCATCCACCCAGCGCATGCACAACCCCACCAACAAAAAGAGAGGGGCAAGGGCCAGATGGTCAAGAGAGAAGAATCCATGACTGCTGATGGTGTTGTCACGACTGCTGTCACGACTGCTGCTGCTGATGGTGGTGGTGGTGGTGGTGTGCGACGGCTCGCAGGGTGGAGGCCATGTGCGCTGCTGCTGTGCGCATGTCCTCGGACTTCAGGCCAGTGGCGCTCAGAGTGATGGTCATGGCGCCCTTGTACGTCGTCACCGCAACATACACGCCGCGCACAAACTGGTGGAACGTGGCTGAGAGCGTGTCGAGAGAACAGCCGAGAGAAGGCAGCGCCTCCACGCGCCCGACATTGCCCGTGGTGATGGGGCACGGCGCACTGGTGACAGCGGCCTCCACAGCCTTGGCCACGGTGAACGCCGGCATGCGCTCAAAGATCCACGCCGCGCTGGCGTATGCCTTGTCTTGCAGGGCGGCGTGCACGCCGTCCATGAACACGCGCGCGCCAGTCCAGAAGTCGGCGCACACAAGCGGCCGGCCGGCAGCAAGCACCATGGGGTGGGTGGTGGCCACGGCAACAGAGAGGTTGCCAACCATGTCCAGCGGCAGCGACCGGCCCGTGTGGGGCGTGTGCGCGCGTGCGTCGATGGTGGTGGTGACGGGAACACGGACGGTGCCGTTGGCCTGCATGACTTTGCTGGCGCGTGCAAGTGTGTCTGCGCTGTGCACGACGTGCTCCCGGTGGGCCATCAGCGCAGCCATGGTGATGGCGCCCGTCACCGTCGTGCCGTGTGCGCGGGCAGCAGCACGCAGGGCGGACACCACGTCTTTTTCCAGCTGACAGCGGGCGACAACGCACCGGCTGGTCTGCGATGGTGGTGGTGCCACCGCATCCTCTGCCCACTGCAGCGCCTTGTTGTCCTTGTCGTGAGCAAGGAGGTCTCGCATGGCCCCGAGGCCGCCACCAAAGAGGAAGTTGAGCCAGCCCTTCTTCTCCTCAGGCAGGAGGTCCACCAGTCGCGGTGGCGGCAGCCTGGCCAGCTCTGCATCCAGCGGCAGGGTTGTGCGGGTCAGGTCGTCGTCTTCCTTGCGGACAGAGCTGAGCTGATCGCTGCGCATGCTGTCATCGGCGGCGGTGTCGGTTGGTGCGGCTATGGCGGATGCGACGGCGCCGAGGTGGAACACCAGCTCCTTGAGCACCTGCACGACACCGCGAAGATCGGCGACAATGTGGGGTGCGGCAACAGCTATGCGGTATGTGCCATCCTCCTTGGAGCGCACGAGGGCAACGGCGAACAGGGCGCGGTGCGAGGCGTGGAAGTCGAAGGACATGTGCAGGAAGTCTGCCTCGACATCCTGCAGCGCAGCGTCGGCCGCCTCGCTTGTGGGCGCAGTCTGCATGACCACGGCCTGCGGTGGGATGTAGGGGGAGGGCCATGTGTGCACGAGGAACGGCTCATCGAGATCGGCGTCCTTGGCAAGGACGTGCGCGCGCAGGCGGCAGTGCCGCTGCTGCACCCGGTACACGGCTGCGGCGATGTGGTCCTTTGTGATGTGCTGGTCCAGTGGAATGCGATCGGGATCCACGCGCACCACACCAGATGCAACGAGGTTGGCTGCGCCGTTTCGCGGCAGGTGCAAGAACACGCTCTCTCCCTGGCTCACTGCTTGCCTGTGCTCCTCATACTGGTGTCTGAGCTGCTGCTGCTGCTGCTGTTGTTCTTGTTGTTGGTGCTGCTGCTGCTGTGGTGGCGGTGGTGGTAGTGGTGGTGATGACGATGGTGATGGTTGTGAGTTGGACGAGTGCCCTTGCCCTTGTTGCTGCTGCTGTTGTTGCTGGTGGTGTTTGAGAGTGCCAGTGGCGCCATCACTGTCAGCGCCGCTACCATCATCATTGTCGTCACTGTGCCTCTCTGCGTCCCCTTCCTCCTCGTCCAGTGGCACCTTCTCTTCTTGCACCTCTGGGCTGCTGCTGGCTGTTGCCACCTCTTCTGCCGCTTCGCTCATCTTGGTCGTTGATGACTCATCAACCAATCACAGAAGAAGAAGAAGAACAAAAAAAAAAGAAGAAGTGCGCGAACGACCAAGAAGCAAGCGAACGAGCAACCAAGCAGCGAGCAAGACAGACAGAGAAGACGGGATGGAGGATGGGTCGTGTCCGTACGAGGTGCTGGGTGTGCCCACCACCGCAACAGAGGCAGAGGTATATGCAGTCGCACACGGGGGTATTGCGGTGTGTGGTTGAGTGAGAGAATGAACGTGAGGTACACACGTTTGTTTGTGGTCGTCGGGTGGAGTGGGAACAACCATTGCACTCATCGATTGCAACACGTTGTCTGCCACTCATCACAAATGCTGTGCTGTGCAGATTCGCAAGGCATACAAGAAGCTGGCCCTCAAGTACCACCCCGACAAGAATCCAGATGACCCAGAGACAGGTGTGTGTGTGTGTGTGTGTCGAAATGAAAGGTGGATGATGGGAGAAGTGCTCATGTTGTTGGTGCTGTTGTTGGGGTGGGTGAAGTGATATGGTACGATACGTGAAGAAGACGACCAACAACAAAGGAAGCAAATGAAAGAAGTGACACGTGCAGATGCATCTGATCTCACCTCTCATACCAAACACACACACACACACACACACACACACACACACACACACACACACACACACTCACACACACACACACTCGCACATCCCATGGGGTGTCAGCGGAGAAGATGTTCCGGCGAGCTGTCATGGCATCAGAGATGCTGCTGGATGCCACAGCAAAGGTGAGACACACACACACACACAGAGCGAACAAGAGGAGGCTTGTACGTCGTTCACCAGTCTTCAAGACGTCTTTGTGGACGTCGTGCTGGACGAGGTGTTGGAGTGGTTGCCGTTCTTTCTGGTGGTCTTTACTCACACAACACACACCACACGCACACAACTGCTGTAGGCTGCATATGACAAGGTGTTGAAGGCGAGGCAGGCTGCACGCGTGCGTTCGGAGAAGATGGATGCAGAGCACCGCAAAGCAAGAGAAGGTGTGTCTCGCTGTGCTGTTGGTTGTGGAAGCGTGCCTTTGTGCGCGTGTGACTGGGTTGTGTTGCATCTTATGTGTGTCCCTGTGGTCTTGTTGCCATCGTGGATGCATTCACACTCACCCACACACACACGCGCACATTCAATTGCGTGCATGCCGTTGACTGGCAGACCTTGAGGCGAGGGAACAGGCACACAAGCGCAGCAAGACTGCAGCAGAGACATTGCAACGTGACTTGGAAGCACAGGTGTGCTCCTGCGCTGCGCTTTGCTGATGTCTTGCACTTGTGTGTGTTTGTGTGTGTGTGTGTGTGTGTGTGTGTGTGTGTGTGTGTGTGTGTGTGTGTGTGTGTGTGTGTGTGTGTGTGTGTGTGTGTGTGTCCCCCCCTGCCCAGTATGAGCAGCCACCATCATCATTACTCACCACGTTGCTGCCTGTCGCCTTGATGACAGATTCGCAGATTACGGGCTGAGGGCGCACGCAAGCTACAGGTGTGTGTGCGCGCGTGTGTGCGTGTGTTGGTCTATGCCACTGCTCCCGTGCGTTGATCCCTGTCTTATCACTGCCACCACCACCACCATCACCATCGTCACCGTCTCCACACTTCTGCTGCGCAATCCCTTGCAGGAGGAAGAGGACAGGTTCAGGGAAATGCTGAGGACAGCGAATCGAGGAGATCAGGTGGTGAGTGTGTGCGAGTGTGTGCGAGTGTGAGTGAGTGTGCATTCGTGCGAGTGTATGTACCCACAATATCAACCTTTGTGGATTGCTGCTGGGGTTTGCGCAGCGCTGGCAATGCGTCCTGTGTTGGTCACACACACACACACATACACACACACGCTGTTGCATCCTGTGATTTGTGACATGCCCTCTCACAACCTCAATGTACGAACACCACTTTGCTGACGATACCATGTGTGTGTATGTGTTCCTTTGTGGTTTGTGTCATTGCTGATTGGTTGATTGCACAGGATGCGACGGTGGTGAAGAGCGACTTCTCCGAGGACTTTGAAGCAAAAGTGCTGGCACGCATGCGTGCTCATGGCCACGCACGAAGAGAACACATGCAGCAGCAACAGCAGCAACAGGCTGCGTAGCTGTTGGTGGTGGGTGAGAACGTGCTGTGGGAGAAGAGGAGGCCGAGAACTGAGTTCGCACGCAGGCACTTGACATCAACGGCCTTGTTGTTGCTGTGGCTGCTGTTGGTGATGGCGAGCTTCCTTTTGCAACTGTTTGGTTAGATTGGATGATATGACACGCAATGTACACAGAGATGCGTCGCAATAAACAATCCTTCATGTCAAACACCACACATCCTCACGCTCTGACAACAACAGCACGCATCGACACTAGTGTTCTTGCACGCAAAACGCCCAGCAAGCAAGCAACAAACCCAAAATCAGGGTGGTGGCCACGCCCCTTTTGTGGTTGTCAGTGGTTTGTGTGTTTTGCGTGCGGTCCCAACACCCTCGCACGCGATCGACACTTTCACGCCCAGCCACTCAAGCACACCAAACGTTGTTTTGGGTGGAATCGGCTTACTACTTACTTTGACTGCTTCTCACGCAAGCGCAGGCGGTCTGACCAGTCAATCGCTGTGGTGTTCCTGATCACCACCCAGACAGACAGGCACCTGACCTTCTTCACCAGCACCGGCACCAGTGCAACAAGCAAGCAGCCGCCACCGAGACCGGCACCACCGGCGAGATGGCTCTGTTTGGTGGCGCCAGCCAGGGTGCTGGGCGCACTGCGCTGTGCAACGGCGACTTTGTGTCGCTGTTTGTGGAGGAGCTCAAGGGCTTCGCCAGCGTGGACATTCTGTCGACGCGCGAGGTCACCGTGTACCAGGGCGACACGGACTCCGCGTTTGATGGCAGCACAAGCACCAAGTCATCCTCGGAGACCGCGACCGCGCCCAACTTTGAGCAGTCGTGCGTCTTCCAGATCAAGGCGGTCACCGATCTGCCGGAGGGCGCCAGCCTCAAGTACGGTGATGTCGTGCGCATCATCCACCGCAGCACCCAGCGCAGCATGACGCGCCAGAACCGCGCCGTCAACGGCAAGCACGCCGTGGCGCTGGAGAACACGGACCGTGCCGCCGCGCACTTCCGCCTCCTCCCGCGCTTCAAGATCCGCTCCGTCGGCGAGCCCGTGCTGCTCAACGACCAGGTCATCTTCCAGAACGAGGTGGTCATCGAGGGCAACCGCACGTACCTGATGACGGACCGGCCAGAGGACTCGCCCAAGGTCCTCATGGAGTGCGGCTCAAGCAAGACCACGGGCATCCGCGTGCGCCTGTTTGCGGCCTACAACGTCTCCAGCAAGGCCTTTGTCCACGTCCTCAAGGGCGGCGACTTTGTGCGCCTGTTCCACCACGAGGCCAACGGGTTCCTTGTCGTTGCGCGCCACATTGGCACGGGCGATGCGCACGACTTCCTCGGCCGCGACAACACCGTGTGCCTGCGCACCTTGGCCGTCGGCCGCAGCCCGGACGAGTACCACGACGCAAGCTCCATCTGGCAGGTGGAGCTCGAGGACACCCAGCGCCGCGGCGGCAGGCCCGTGCTGTGGACGGACCGCGTGCGCCTGAAGAACGTCCTCACCAACGAGTTCCTGGATGTGCGCACCACGTCGTCCACGGGGGCCATGGCGCCCACGGCAGACAAGGGCAGCTCCAACCTCTTCTCCTTTGTGCAGTCGACGCACTCCGCGCAGGAGGGCGACGCGCCCGCCACGGCGCTGCTGTCGCGCCAGGAGGACCTGCGCATCCCCTACCACACGTTCTTCTTCCTGCGCGGCAGCGGCAACCCGGAGGTGACGGACCAGTTCCTGCACGTGGACTCGGAGCACTACGCCGTGGAGGAGGACGAGGAAGGCGACGACACCGGGCAGAGCAGCACGTTTGCGCAGACGGTGCTCATTGCCACGCACGACGAGGACGCCTTCTCGCTGCAGTCCGTGCACCAGCAGGACATTCGCGACTTCTACTACGCGCTCGGCCACGTCAAGGTGCTCACGCGCCTGGCAGCAGACGACGTGCTGACAGACGTCACCAACCCCGTGCACGCGGACCTGTACAAGCGCGCGCGCCGCAGCATCCACGCGCTCATCCAGTTCTGCTCGGAGGACAAGATTGAGGATGATGAGGACGTGGTGGGCCGCGCCAACACCCTGCACCAGAACATCCTCTTTGACCTGCAGGTGCAGGTGCCGCTCATGAAGGTGGTCAGCCTTCCCTTCCACGGCGCACACTGCGCAGAGTGGGGCAAGGGGTGGCGGGAGCGCCTGACACAGACACAGTACCGCCACTACAACAAGCTCGCCCGCGACGTGTACCGCCTCATCAGCTACCTGTGCCGGGAGAACGTGCACATTGGGCTCATGTTTGCCAACGCGCACCTGACGGCCATGATCAACCAGTGCCGGCTGATTGGCTACCTGGACGGCATCAACTGGGACATTGCCGACGCCATTGACGAGATGTTTAAGGACAACACCATCCTGCTCAACCGCGTCACGAAGCAGTCGATTGAGACATACCTCTCCCTCATCCACGAGGCGCACACCACCACCGCTCTCGAGCAGTACCTGCGCCTCCTCGCCGCCCTGTGCTCTGTCGACGGTGAGGCCATCACCTCCACCCAAGCCAGCATCCGCGACCTCATGCTTGTTCCTGGCGCGCCGTCAGCGGACGTTCTGCCCTCCATCGCCAACGGTCCCAGCGGCATGCGCATCACCGCGCGTGTGCTCACCCCTGGCAAGCCCTTCCGCGCATGGAGCACCGTGACCCTCCCCTTACAGGAGTACCTGAAGGACCACGACAACCTCGAGTACTTTGACGCCACGCTGGAGCTGTTTGCCCAGCTGTGCCTGGAGGGCAACTGCCAGGGCGAGCTGCGCGCGGCGGCCCGCACGCCCTTCCCCATGATCATGGGCGCCCTCAAGTCGCAGCTGCCGCCGCACGTCAAGGCGCGCTTCTGCACGCTCCTCGTCAACCTGTACATCGACGGCGACGACCTGCCGGACGTGGACCACTCCAACCGGCGCTGGCAGGACCTGGCCAACCACAAGTCGCACGCAAAGCTCAAGACTGCGGCGGTGCAGCTGTTTGACGTGGACGAGGTGGTGAACTGGGTGGAGGCGTACCTGTCGCAGAACGGCCTGCTCACCTACAACCACGAGTACCACAGCGCAGCCAACAGCAAGAAGCCCGAGATGATCGCCCTCAAGCAGGACGAGCTGCACCGCAACATGCTCACGGAGCAGGTGGTGCACGTTGCGCTTGCCCTGGTGAACAAGGGCCTGTACTGGGACGCCGGCAGCAGGAAGCGGCTGGTGCGGCTGCTGCTCACGCTGCTCGTGCGTACGCACCCGGGCGAGAACGATGACCTGAGCGCAACATCGTCGCTGGACGTGGTCATGCAGGCCAAGACGCTGGTGTGCCGCGCCCTCGGCGCGTGCATGGACGCGAACCTGGACGAGGTGGTGACGGAGCTGCTCACGGCGTTCAAGAAGGAGTATTTGGCGCACAAGCACAAGCACATTGAGGCGCACGCGGACGACCGTGCCCTGCACGAGGTCAGCCTCATCCAGCACAACGGCGATCACCGCCACTTCTTCGAGACGGACGGCCTGTCGCAGCAGCAGATTGTGCACCTGCTGCTGGCGCTGACAACCTACCCGAGCGACGGGCTGCGGGTCGCGGCGCTCAATCTCCTGCTGCGCTGCTTCAACGTCAAGGGCTCCGTGCTGGCCCGCCTGTCGGATGTCGTCGTCATTGCAGACAGCAAGGACGAGGCTGCCCTGGAGAAGCTGGAGCAGCTGCTGCTGACGCTCAAGCACGAGGACCATGACGACCTGCACACTGCGGCCGCGCACATGACTGAAGAGATTGAGTGGATGTGCTCGCAGTGCATCACCGTCAACGGCACGCTGGCAGCCGACCTGCTGGCCCCCGGGGACAGCAGCAGCAGCAGCAGTAAGGCGGGGAGGAGGAAGCGGAAGGGCGTGAGTGGCCCACGTCTGCCGTGGCGCAAGCCCGGTGTGAGTATTGAGCCGCACCATGCGCACCAGGAGATGATGCGCAACGCCAACGCGCACAAGGCCGTACTGCACATCCTTCACCACCACCTCTCTGGCGCCGACCTCAAGACGGCGCTCAAGGACGACCGAGCGCGGGATCTGTTTGCCGCGTGTTTTGAATTCCTCGCCTTCTTCTGCCTGCACAACAAGCACAACCAGGAGCTGCTTGGGCACGCGCACGACATCTCGTTCTTCGTGCACGCGTGCTCGTACGGCATCCACGCAGAGAAGGTGCTGCACCGTATTCTGGAGGGCGAGCCCGACCTGGTGCAGGAGCACGTGGTGGACGAAGGCAAGGTGGACCGCCTCATTGCAGACCTGATCAAGGAGCCGCGCTGTCGCAACGTCGACTTCCTCAAGCTGATGGAGGTGATTGTTGCGCCCACGGGCACGCCCTCGCGGGAGCTACAGGACCTGGTGGGCGAACATTTCCTGCAGGCAGAGGAGAAGAGCCATCTCTTTGAGCACGAGCTTGGTTCCTCCCACTTCATCTCGTTCATCGTGTCCACCTACACCAAGACCGGTGGTCGTGGTGATGACGAAGATGATAATGGCACCAGCGCACAGCCGCTCTCCGCCCGCGAGCATGATCTCCGCGATTTCTTTGAGCAGCTGCTGTCATTCTATGCGGTGACAGCGCACGGGAACCAGGGCACCGCAGCCCATGTTGCCAAGCACGTGCCGCTCGCTGAACTTGCACAGCCCTTCATTGACGGCGTCACACTCCCAACCGCCACAAAGGTGCTTATGTGTGTGTATTTCGTGTATTTCGTGTGTGTGTGTGTGTGCGTGTGTTTGTGGTGAGGATTTGTGTCTTATGTGTGTATTTCGTGTGCATCTGTGATAATGCCCTGTTCTGAAATGTTGCAGCTCCGTTCATGTTCACTTTGACACTGTGTGCTCGCCGTGTTTCATTCTTGCATGTGTATGCCTTCACTCTCAGACTCACATTTCTTTCCTTCCACGCACACGCACAAACACACGCACACATGCACGCACAAATACACATACACACATACACGCACGCACGCACGCACGCACAAACACATACACACGCACGCACGCACAAACACACATACACACACATGCACGCACAAATACACATGCACACACACCGCCAGTCTCGCCTGCTGACGCTGATCCGAGATGTGTACCTGCTGCACGGCACGGACGAGGATGGCGATGGTGTTGTCGACGATGTTGATGCTGAGGATTTTGGATTCGTGTCTGCCGCAGCCAAGCAGGAGACGTGCGTGAGACTCTGTGGACCCCTGGCCAACGAGCTGCGGGCCATCGACAAGGGGTGGAAGCACAAGCCAAGCAAGGTCCGGGCAGCGCTCGACCGGTATGCGTTTATGACGCTGCTGCCGCTCGCTGCTGACCTGCTGCGCATCTTCGTGGAAGAGCACGGCAGCGTGCCGGCGGAGAGGCTTGAGGAAGAGGCTGTGTCGCTTGTTGCGGAGTGCGTGCGCTTCCTGAAGCACCGGCGAACGGTCACGTTTGAGAGCCCGCACTACCTGATGGACCACGAGTACCGCGTGCTGGGTGGACATGTCACTGGCGAGCTGCTCAAGAGCACGCTGCTGGCACAGCAGGACGCGCTGCTGGTGAATGTGCAGACGGAGCACACGTGGTACGACGAGACGGAGGCGAAGGAGGCGCGAACGGCAGCAGCACGCTCCACCGCGCTCAGCATGGGCAGCAAGCACGGGTCGAGCAAGCGGCACGCGTTCTCAATCGACTCGTTTGCAGCCACGCACAGCAAGCGCGGCGGTGGCGGGCACACCCGCGGCGGTGGCAAGGCGCCACGCAAGGTGATGCCTGTGGAGAAGGTGAAGACAGAAGGCGAGCGCATCCAAGAGGAGCTGCCGTTCTTCGTTGATCAAGTGCGAGAGACATTCAACCACGGCTTCTCGCAGCCGCACCTGCCGTGGATGTCGTTTCTCTCCACGGAGTACAACTTCCAGCCGTTCTGGGCGCTGGTGGGTATTCTGCAGGCCGACTTGCTGGAGGACAGGCTGCACGAGGAAGAGAAGGAGGCCGAGGAGGCGGCACAGGGCGGCATGCTGGGTGCTGATGGCGAGCGCAGTGGCGTGCAGTCGCGACAAGGCAGTCGACCAGAGCTACAGCGCACCACGACAGCAGCAGCTGCTGCGCGGTCGGGGACATTCCGGAGCCTGCGCAATCGCCGCCGGTCGCGTGTGCACGGGGAGTCGATGCAGATGAACCCGATCAACCTGGTGGACGTCAACGTCGACATCAACATCCGCACGTGCCTGGAGAATGTGATGACGCACTTCGAGGAAGCTGGCGATCACGAGCACCACCATCACGAGTTTGAGGAAGAGGACGAGGAAGAGGCAATTGTGGGCTTCCTCGCAGCCATGTCGTGTGCGCTGACGTGTGTCGTTGATCCCAAGACGGGTCGCGTGTACCAGGAGCTTGACGATGAGGACAACGAGGAAGCCAAAGCAGCCCACGAGGCTGCCATTGCCACCGTTGGGCGCTCCCTCAACAGCCTTGGTCTCCCCGACATGGTTTTGTTCCTGCTCAGCTCCAACCACAGGTGCACGGTGCTCATGGCGGCGCAGCTTGGCTGGCTCATGCTGGATGCCACGCCGCACGTGTTTGAGGCAAAGGCCGCGGCTGCGCTGATGGAGAGCAGCATTGAGGGCGGCAGCACGCTCGCCCGCCGGCAGCACCAGCAGCAGCAGGAGCGGCTGCTGTCGCAGTGGGCGTTCCACGATGCGTTTGAGAGCGGACCAATGGGCCGGCGCGCCCTTGCCGCCATCCAGCGCCATCTGCAGCACATGCAGGAGCTGCTGTTCAAGCGGGAGCACGAGGACCCGCTTGACCGGCTGCGTCGCGACCAGGACGTGGAGAACCTCGACGTCGCCATTGTGATCCGCATCCTCGGATTCCTGGAGGCGCTGTGCTTTGGGTGCTTCACGGAGATGCAGCAGCTGCTGCG